AATACTAGCAAGAAAGAACAGATTGCGCAGACAGGCTGGAGATATTCCAGAACCATCTGGACACAATCCTCTGCCCTGTGCTCTGAGATAGCTGCTTGAGCAGGAAGCTTCAACTAGATAATCCACTGAGGTCCCTTCCAACCAGATCCATTATGTGAGTTCTGTGATTCTGTGGAAGGATGTTCCATTTTTTTCCAAAAGTATTATGACAGGTCCCCAAGTGCTGTGGAAAAGCACCATCAAGTCTTCAGGAATGACACAAGTTCTAGGACGTTTGGATGTGCTAAATGCTAGATCCTTTCAGAAGTTTTATTAATATCTCTTGAATACTGTACAGCTAGAAATTTAGAAATGTGTAAAGTGTACAATTACTAGATACAGGGTAAAGTATTACCTACAGTCACTGATATACTGTGAACAATTTATTATTTGGCAATGCTTGCAATGAAGACACAACCCTAGGAAGAAACATTGCACACTGGAATCCAAGCAGGCAGAATCTGATTTGCTGGTGCTGTAAGCAATCTGAGTTGGAACTTATTCTTCCCAGGTGTTGGAACAGAGGCCATCAGAAGTGGGCTGATTTCAGGAGACACCCTAAGTGTGCTACTTGTAATGAAACCAGTAAAATTAATGTGCGCTTACTTGTGGCTTTGCCAAGCATGAGCACTACAGCTATGTCCAATTCTTACCATCTGCTTCACTGGAAATAAAACTAAAACTGTCGAGAACACTTTTAAATCCCTTAAAACATATTTAGGCAACAAAATTCATAATATGAAACTGATTTCAAGGGCAGAAAAGGACAATGTTTCCAGAAGTTTCCCGAGGTTATATTTTTTCACAGAAAAAATCTAGTACTCTATACCATGTATAATAAGATCTTTTGCAATATGGATTTTTCAAATACACATGGTTTACTAAAAATGTAAATTATCATAAATATACTCCACATAAAATAAATACTCCATGGTGTGTAAGATGTTGGCACTCTGCTAAAGCATGCTGCAAATAAAGTGAATGTGATATTTAGGATATATATAGGTTCATATCAAGTTTCTGTAAAAATAACATAAAGTCTCTCATTCAAAATGTCTTCAGGGAAAAAGCAGAATATTAATTTTCATGGTACTTCATTCCAGTATTTTCATAAGTATTATATGCCTATGTCTACATAAAACCACTGTTACTAGGACCAATATAGTTGAAAACCTTCCATTAATTTAACAGAAATATTTCCATCCCCAAAGTGCCAAATAACAAGCCAGCTCAAATGAATGGTAAAAAGCATAATTATGAGAGCATTCTAATACCTGCAATGAATTTATCTTTGAAAGCTTTTCATTGTTTGTATGCTATATTCCGCTTATAAATAACATTTTATAGGGTGCTGTATACCTCAAAAAGGGTATTAAAACTTCAAAGAAATATATATGTTTATTATGTTGCTATGGACACCACAGAAGTGTGTGGGGCCAAACCCCTCATATTTATAGAGAGTGAAATTATGAATTATTGTTTTCTTTACTCACAGCATTAGTTTAATTGTGCTTTTACATTTTCCAGTAAAATTTTCACAGACACCTATAGTCTGACAAACCAAGATAAAGGCAGCCTTCAATACTAGGCCTTTTACATAAGCTTAACTATTACCAGTATATTAAAATATCCCCTAAAAGCTTTATCTATCATTTATAACATATTTTGAAGGAACATCATCAGTATTAAAATAAGCAATGACAGTTTCATCTGTGACCCTGGAATATCAAATCAGGAAAAAATGGCAAGAAATCCTCTTCAAGGAGAGATCTACTGTCTTCTCCTAATCCTGCATTTCAAGTCACCCAGGTGCATTCCTAGGCTTGTGAAGACTATTTCTGCAACCCAGGCACACCAGGCTTTGCCTTTATAATCCAGATAAAGGGCTACCTCTAACGCAGTATTACACCTAATTCCTTTTTCTTAAATAATAATTTCCTTATACCCAGCACAGCACATTCATCAACACAGATCAGATCACCCTCCCTTTTTACAGCATCACTTAGATTGGTAGGGATGCCAGGAGGTCTTTTGTCTCTCTTCTCAGAGCAGGGATAACACAGAATTAAGACCTATTTAATAGGTCAAGACTTTGTCCACGCTTAAAAGTATCCAAGAATATAGATACTGTAACTTCATTGATACTGTACCAGTGCTTAATTATGCTCATAACATCAGAAACTCTCATGCTTCAATTTATGCACAGTGTTTCTCATTCTCCCACTGTGCACTTCAGTAAACAGCCTCCCTCTGTACTCTTTGTAGTCCCTTAAGTCCCCTGGAACATCTCTTGAACAAGCTGAACAAGCTCAGCTCCCTCAGCCTTCCCTCACAGGATTTCAGCCACCTTGATGGCTCTTTGCTGAACTTGCTCCAGCAGATCAGCATCTCTTTCCAGTACCTAGGGGCCCACAGCCAGACATAGTGTTCCAGAAACTCTCAAGTAAGCAACACACTGAAGTGATTAAGCACTTCCCTTGGTCTAGTGGTTACAATCCTATTTTTACAGCCAAGTACACTGTTAGCCCTCATCACAGCCAAATAGAACTCATATCTAGTTTACTGTTCAGCAGGACCCTCAGGGGCTTTCCAGCTGAGCTGGTACTCAGGCAGTCAGACAGTGCCCAGCCTGCATTGCTGCAGGGGGTCGGTCTCTCACAAGTGCACAACTTCTCATTTGTCCATGTTCAATATTGTGAGGTTCCTCTCAGCACATTTGTGCAGCTTGGCAGTGTGGGAGACATCTATGGGGAAGACAGGGCCAGGATGCCCTGGGAGAATACCCTAGTCTACTTTAGGGTGAGAGACTGACAGCATTCCCCATCATCCTCTGTTGTTAATGTAAATTTTGTGCTGTCAGTCCCCAGTTGCACACTCCCCAGTTCCAGAAAATTCTGTACCCTCTGTTCCCCGCATTGTTCCTCCCTGGAACACCACACCCTCCCCGCTTCCCCAGGGGTGAAGTCCTAGTCATCCCACTCCAACTCCTCCCCTGGCTTCTCTCCCCATTGCACAAGTTATACTCCAACCCCTCCTACTTCCCTGGGTTATATACCCCAGCTCCACCCCTGTTCCTGGTTCCTTCTGCTTCTGGTTCTTTTTAGCGATGGTTTCCAACCTGCCCTCTCTGGTCCTGCTTCTACCCTGCCTGTCCACTACCTTCTTACCCTGCCTGGACCCTCAGACTGTTCCTAAATAAACCCTGCTGGATTTTACCGAGTGAAGGACCCTCTCGTTTTTCCTGGTGAGGCACAATTACACCATCAGGGCTTGGGCATCTGGTGGGCTGGGGGAGTTGTCAATGCAGGCCGCTGCGAGGTCACTCCTGGTGCCACAGGCACCCCGGCAGCACCTGCCCAGGGAAAGCTACCGCAAGCCACCCGCATGGTAGGTCCATCAGGACAGTGTCTCTGCCCTCATGAGTAGCCGTGATGTCCCCAGAAGCTGAGGGTGCCTCTTTCTTCTCCTCTAAGTCATTGGTAAAATATTAAACACTATTAATCTCAGGACAGACACCTTGGAAGTTTCACTTGTGACTAGTCACCCAAGGCAGAACATGGATGGTGGACCTCTGCACTTTGACCAGTGATCCAGCTGACTTTTCCCTCACCTAATAATCTACCTATCAAGACAAATGTCCAGTTGCGATAAAAAGGTGGGAGACCATATAAAAATTCTAAATTCAAAGTGGGTGACATCAATCCACTATGAAAATTTGGTGAATTTCTACAACAGAAATATTTGGATACTGTGTTTTCAACCCCATTTCTGTATTCCTTCCTTCTTTGTGACAGCTGCCCTACATGATAAGGAGCTCCCCCTTTGAGCCACATTTCATCAACTACAGATCTTGGGCAGTCTAAAACTTTGATTAAACTACTTCACCTCCCACTTTCTGATACAACCAGGAAGAAATCATAAAATACACCTGAAGATTCATCTGAATATCCAGAGATTAATTTTACTTGGCTACTCTTCCAGCCCTCTGGTGACTACTTTTCCAAATATGTGGATGACTGGTTTTGCAGAATTGCTATCAGGAATCCAAGTCTGTGCTTGCACTTAGTGCTGGGATAGCAGGGATGGTATGTTTCATTAGGGACAGGATGCATCTTCAAGTACAGAGGAGACAGAGAATTTTACAAAAGCAGTGGGAGACTCCTGGAAGACAAACTAAGTTGTTAATTCAAGATCCACGTTTCCCACACTGAAGCATTTGCTCATCTGCCTACAATTCCCCAGAACATTTAATCACATTCATTCTCAAAAACCTACGTACATATTTAATTGCTTGATGGATCAAGGCCTTAACTGAATAGGGCAAAGCTGCAATGCAGTGGAATGACTAGGGCACCTGAGGCTGTAGGACTCATCTCATCCAACATTAGACATCCAACATTTATAACAAAAGCATATGTCTCAGCTACTTACCATAGCCCCTTTCATAATTAATGGAGAGAAATAGACACTTCTAGGGTGCAATTCATCAGTCTTATTTTAAACATCTGGTTTAGGAAGAGATGAATTGCATCTGTCAGGTGCATATTTTTCCCTGCTGGTTATAAAGGGGACCAAGGTAGCTACCTCACAGGCAGCACCTTTATTTTAATCCTGACCAAAATAGCCTCTGAATGGATTCAGAGTGCTATGGAAAATACTCCCAGCAACTTGTAGGTTGTCTCTGAGTCTTATTCTGCATCTTGATTCCTAACTCTGGTTCCTACGTGCTGCAATCTGGTCTGTAGTTCTTAGTACATTTTCCATCTTACTTGCCCAAGTATTTGTCCCACCTAGCCTGCACTGCCTGTTCCTGTTTCTGCTCCCTCACCTCAGATTTACAGTCCCTGTAACCCTAACCTTTGTCTGAACCTGTGCTGGGCAGAACCTTCTGCTTTGCCTCAGGCTTAGAATATACAGATGCCTTGTCTTCTGGGCTTTCCTCTCAACTTCCACATAAGGTATTTTCTATCTAGACCCTGGCATTAAGATTCCTTCCCACTCCTGACATTGATCTTTCTTAATCACAGGCTCCAGCTTGCATGTCCATCTCATTTCCAGCCCAGTTTAAAAGCACCATCTAGCCATGTTCTATTTACAGTAATAAAGATGTCAGCCATTGGAGTAGGGGTAGTTTTTGTCACATAACTTTATCTATGCTATAAATTGCAATATGATTCTGTGAATATGACTATTAAATGTTCATATAATAGAAATACAAAAGTAATACAGACTATGAATGGAGCAATGCACTTAACTGGGCATTGAGCTTAGGGACAAACCTCAGTATCTGGATATCTGTCTACAAAAAATACATAGCTACTGCTGTTCAGATATCAACCTTCTCCTGAAAACCTTCATTCTTCTAAAATTAGCTTCATTGTTTTCTTCTTGTGTCCTCCATAACTGTTCAATCTTTACCCATCCAAGTTTCTCTGCAGCCTTTTTTTACCTAGTATCCTTTACCACTTAGTACCAGTAGCAGAAAGTTGTTTCAGCAACTGTGTACCATGTTCCCTGAGTTCAGCAAACATTTAACCCCAGACAAAGCCCTCTGTAGGAAGTTCACATGTGCATTACTCCATCAATTTGGACCACCAGCTGGAGCATCAGCTTTTCCAATAGCAACCAGATTCTGGTGAAGAGCAAATAAAATGCTGATATTTGCAGATGGACTTCAGTTTAGTTTTAGTGGTATTGCCTTACAGTTAGTAACTGGGTGACTGAAACCCTCCATAATCTCAATAGAGCAGCCATTCACTACACTTCCCAAAAAACTGATTTGCTGTAGTACCCAATGAAAAAAATCTTAATATTTATTAGCTCTTACAGTAAGCAGAGATTATGTTAAATTATGAAATTCAAAATAAATCAAATTATTTTGTCTATTAGTATAATATTTTTAATAAAAACCCAACAGATTGTTAAATGCAATTGCAATGAAATAAAGGACCAGGGGGTAGAGTGAAACACACCTTTTCCATCCTTGCAAGTGATAATACTGCCATAGTAATCCATTCATCAGTGACCCTCTCTCTACCCTCAACATTTCACATGTATGTGCTTTTCTTTGTCTGATCAGTAAAGATCTAGACAAGACTCATAAAAACCACAAAACATTAAGCTGTTGCAAATGGAAAATTAACTTACAGAAACTCTTCAACTGCACCAACCCCCTTCAAAAAATGAACAAAAACACAGAGGAAAACCCCAAGCAAGTTCTAATCCTTAACATCCTTTCTAATATGCCTTTGTCATTAGCCTCTAAAGGGCCCCTGTTATTGCCCTTTTCAAACACTTGAGTATGGTAATGTCCATAATGGTGACCTAATCAGTTTAGGTGTATCATCCAAACAGTTCCACAGAAACAATTGAGAGAATGTCACTGAGGACTTGCAAACGTAGTGTGCTTCAGCATGTCTGCAGAGAAGGTTGGAGTGTGACGGGTGGCAATGATGCTGTACTCCTTCTTGAAAGCCACTGATCTCTTGCATAAAAACACATTCTAATACAGGACTACATTTAGTATTTAAATGGATAAAGCATGGGAGCACTGTTAGATTCAAATTCTGTTAGAAGCTGGGAGATAGACTTCACATAAACCCCCCAATTTGCAGCTTGGTGTCAGAAGTTATACCCACAAAATATAACTTAATACAGCCTGCTGGTAAGGCATAAAGCTGTGTAAAAATCAGTGCTTGAGTTCTTGCCCTATATATGACAATAAATGTATTGCATGTGGGAGCGTGATAAAATTCATCCTAACTGAAAATGATTAATTTTTAAAGAATAGAACATAGAAAAATAGCTTGGAACACTTTTTCATTATTTTTTATCTTAATTAAAAGAAATTATAGTTGCTTAAGAAGAATCTGTGTAAGTGGTATAGGATGATACTCCGATTTTATGCAAAAATATCTGCAGAATCTGGTATTGATGAGGAGTAAAGCCATGTGCCAAGCACTCTCACTTGTTTGGCCAGCAGCAACTAACAAAATTATTAAAGGTCAAAGTTTTTACTAGGAGGCATATCACAGTCTTTTATCTTGTGCATATAGTTAAGAAACACCAGCACTACACAAACAAAACGTCTTGATAAAAATTCTCCAGCTTTCAGCACCCCACTAAGTTCTTCAAAACATGTTTTAATGTGAAGAGGCAAAACAAAATCCAGAAACAGATGTTCTTCCTTATTGATTCAGAAAACATTCTCATCATCCCTTCATCAGTCATCCACATATTTGGAAAAGTAGTCACCAAAGGGCTGGAAGAGTAGCCAAGTAAAATTAATCTCTGAATATTCAGATGAATCGTCAGGTGTATTCAAGTTCCTCCCACCCTGTATAGAGATCACTTTTTAAACATCGTGCCTTTTATTCATTGGTGAGGAGATGAAAACCACATCAAACAATAATGTATTCATAATTGACAACAATAGCAATGAAATGGAGACACTACAATGGGAAAATACCTTTCTAGGAGAACTATTATGTAAAATACCTAAGGCTTGAAATTCTTTCTTTTTCTTCTCTAAGATTTATTTATGGCTCTGCACTTTTTAATGAAGGGGACATTTGGATTTAATGAAACCATGGACAAAATACCAAGTGGAATCACAGTGACTGTGAAAACGGCCTGTGCCTCCACCAGGTTTCATGTATTGCCTTTATGGCCCTAACATGTAGTTGTATTTTGTATGTTTTTAAGCTCATATAATCTGAAACCTGTTGTGCAGTGCATTGCAGCCCATGGGCCTCCATGTTGTGGAAAGCAGCACAAAGGCACATAGGAATGTTTGGAGAACACACAAGCCAGCTGCAGCAGAAGCGGAGAAATATGGAAAATGGAGAGGGCCCATCCTGGTGCCTTTTCACTGACACTGCCCCGGAGTGTGGCCAAGCCTCATCCAGGCAGCTCAGTGAGCATAGCCTAAAAACCCCTAAAAATGGGGTCAAACAGGGTCCAAGATCACCCATGCAGAGCCTTCACTCTCTCCCTTGCCCTGTTTTGTTTAGAAGCACAGACACAATCTAAGAGTATGACTTCTTAATTTTTTAAGGTACCTTCATCTTTCATTCATAAACATGTGGCAATTTTATATTTACTTGCTAAATTAACAATGAAATTATCATCTAGAGCTTCTTTCAGGCAAACAAAAGTTCTGTTTTACCCATGATGCTACCTATTTTCAAAAGGACTTGTTGAATTATCTTTAAGATACCTACATTTAACCACACAGAGCGAAATCCCAGTCTGTGAAATGCTTTTCTCCCCCTTGCACAAAGACTTTCAAAGTTCAGCATTTTCTGAATGGCATACTTCATGGTGTTCAGGGTTGTGTATGGATTTGCAGTGTAGCTTTGCAGTAGTTCTGCAAAACACAACAGCTGATGTAGAAGACCTTGCATCCATTCTGCAAATATTTCAATGAAACGTTAATTTAGACCAGTCCTTGTGTAGCTCAAGGGTTCAGCATATGTCTGCAGCAACTGTACTTTCAGTCTGATTTTGGGGAACATAATCCAGTTTAGTTCCATCCTAAAGGAGTCCAGTTTATATTTTACAAAATTATTATATGATCAACAATCCTTTTTTTAAACCCATAAGCAATCACACTTCAGGATATAGATTAACAATTTCAATCAAATTATATAATTTTGCAGGTGAGTAAAACTAGCAAAAATGCCAGTGGACTGGTATCTTTTACGGGATTTTTGTTTTTGTTTTTGTTTTTTTTTGGTCAAGGACTACATTATTCTAACTAACAGTTAATTTTAATTTAGGTCTTTATGATGGAATTTTATGAGTAGGAAAAGTTAGGTAGGTCTTACTATTAACTGACAAGCAAGGTAGTACTTTACGCCACACAACAGTTTATCTCTTCTCTGTATGTCACTTTTGCTCAGTTAAATGATGTCACTCGTGCTGTCTGGAGCCAAATTTCCATATCCAAAACAAGAGGCTGTAGCCAGTCTGCCTATAAGGGGACTCCAGGCTGAGAAGTTGTCCAGTGGTAAGGACGTCCAACAATTCAGATATCTTCAGGAGTCCAAGACCTTTCAGATGTACCATCTGGTCCCTTTAATAGCAAAATAATTTAGTTAATTTTTAAAATTCAGAAATACAAGCGAAATTCACCTTTACTTAAAAGTTCAAACCTCATTTAAACACAGCCTTGGGACTTCTTTCAACTCTTGAAAGGCATTTTTCTTTTGTGAATGAATATCTGAGCTGTTTTCAAATAACCCAAATGACCACAGCTCCTAGGCTTTGTATAAAAATAAAAATAAACAAGAAATAACTACCCTGAAAATTGTACTCTCACCCAATGGTAGCGTTCTACCCATATGCTCGTCTCTCAGTCTGGAAGAGCACCTTACACTGTTAAATATTTTCTGCAATCTCCATTGCCGGGAAACAGTTGGATGCTTCAGTTCTCTCAGCTCTTCAGTTGCTTTTATTCTTTCAGCTACATGCTATTATAATGAATTATTGATTTCAAAACCAGAAAATGTCTCCTTTTGTAATAAAGCTGTTCAAGCCATTTAAAATGTGTTTTCCAGATTATCAAGCATTTTGTCACGTTAGAATCTCACTTTAACACAGATAAGCCATAGCTTCATCAAGTTTTATCTTGCCCAAACTGAGCCAAGGGCAGGCTGACTCACGGCTAGAAATAGAAAGCACAGCTTTTCATCTCAATGTCACCAGCTGAAATTCAGCAAAGGTCATCACTGATAACCAACTGAGTTTTTGATGGCCTTATGAAATTAGCTGATGATCTAGGTATAGTGACTAGATGACAGGTGTTCTTATTATAAAAACCATTATACCAACTGATAACCTCTCTTACTAGACTCAACTGAGAAATGGTGAGCTAAATGAGGCACAGGTGCTCAACCACTTCTTCACATCAACAACTGGCACCTGAAAAAGAAGTTTAAGGGCATATTGCCAAGGATTGTGTTCCACCTATTGTGAAACTGAAAGACTTCAGGCACTTAAGCTATTAGTCTTCTACCTATCTTTAATACCATAGTATTTCAATTTTTGTTTTAGGAGAAAAAAAGAAATAAAAGAAACTGACTCAATAAAAATTTCAAATCAGCCTAAACCAAAAGGGCTAATTAAAACATTCCACAGTAAGACCAAAAATAATGGGTACAATAATATATAGTTGAACAGTATAATTTTATAAGCCTCTACTAGTATCCAATTTTTGCTCTTCTGATGCATTTTCCATGCAAGTCCTTTTCAGTGGAAACCAAGACATCAGTGTTGTATGAGAAGAGACACGCTATAGAGTTGCTTACTTCACCTAGATTTAAAATTCTATTTAAAAGAAGGTATCTTCATTAAAATAAATGATAGAACAACTTTGTATCCCCTTTTTAGAGAAAAATTTCTTCTGTTGCTGTCAAACGTAATTTTAAAATTGTTATTTCTACTTGCCATGAACTCAGTATTGGAAGTTATTTTTCAAGATAATTTTACAAGTTCAGTTAATTATCAGTCATTTTATACTAATAGAAAAGAAATTCTAAAGAGAGATACTGCCAAGGTTGGCTCTGGATACCAGAAGCTGATTGCTTCTTCCTGAAAGAAGCGGAATACATAACACTTTAGCAATTTTTCCTGTGCTGTTCTTAAACCAGATTTCCCTAGGGCTTACAAAACTTGTGCATTTAGTGGAGACTTTTAGTTCATTCATCAAACACATGATATAAACCATTCTGTTATGCACCTTCAAATCAAAAGATGAAAAAGAAAGAAGAAAGAAAGGTGCTCACAAAGGTAAGAGTGCTTACTGAAGGACATGCTTCTTAGCGCTTGGCTGTACAAAAACATGTTCACACAAACAACTGTCACAGCAATTATTTATGATTAAAAAACATGGGAATGTTGTGGTGACTTTGCATTAGAAGTCTAGTATATGTCAATTGTTTTATTCATGATAAACAGATCATTTAGTTGGAAAAATCCCATCTGCCTAGATATATCTCTTATTATTTATGAGAACCATGTTTAGGAATGCAGGCAGCACATGTGCATAATTAATCCTGAAGAGAATTAGACATTGTTTGATTCACAGCTGAATGCAATTAGCATTAGGAAGTTTACATATGTTGGCAATAACACAGATTAGCAACTAAAGTGCTTGTTAAAAAATTTAACCTGAGGCTGCTGGAGCAGACCTCTCTTAATGATGCTTTAAATGTTGTTGATGAAGTAATAATCAATTTTGTTTTATAAATAGTAAATCAAGAATTTAGGTCTAATTAGCTGTGCTACAGATCACTTCACTTACATATCCAATGTACATGTGGTGTGTACTGTGAACTTTCTCTGAGTCTGGTGTGCAAACAGTTGTTAAGGGAAAGATGTGATCCCTTCTGTAGAATAAAGAAAGAAAAAAAAGTCGCAGATGGGGAAGAATGAGATGTCTGTGATGGGAATGACTCCATGCTCCTGGCACTCAAGAAGGAAGGAGCTTTTCCTTTGTTATTTCAGAACTTTCTAACCATAAGGTGAAGAAACAATGCCTTGTCTGCCTTTTTAAAATATAATAATTAAATTATAATTCATAGTCTGTGAAATTAAGCTCTCTAATGGAGAGGGAGGAGAAAGAGAATAAGTGATAAAAGTGAGGAGGCAAAGTAAAATTGAGCTGTAATTGTTTTCACTTCAACTTTAAGAAGTTCAACATTAATTAAAATGTTTCTGCACCACTCACCACCAGATTGGCACAAAAGAGGGCTGGCTGGTATGTGCAGCTGCTGACTGGCAGGGATGTCAGCAAAGCAAAGCCAAGAAGATTACAGTTACACACACACACACACACACACACACTCACACACACTCCCTGTCACACAGATATTCTAAAGACGATGTTGCAATTAGAGTAAGCAGTTGCAGTTTTACTAAAGGAGTAGGTCAGAACTGCTCCCAGGTGAGAAATCAATGTTTCCTAAAACCCTCAAAACAATTTGAAAATTGTTTCAAGATATCTTGGTCCTCTTTTTAGCTCAAAGTTTGCTTTGGTTTTCTCATTTACAATTATGTTTATTTGCATAGGAAATGTTCAGAGATGTAAACTTCAGGTGACCACCTTCCATGATCTATGACCCAGCAGGAGCTGGGTCTATGAAGAGTTCTCCTTCAGCTTTATTGTCTTACCCTCTAAACATTTCTTTATGCAAACAGATGCTGTTGGGGGGTGTATTATGCAGTCCCTGTAATCACACTTTATACATCTTAAGAGCAGGAGAGTGAACGTGGTATCAGTGAGTTACTGCTCTGCTAGAAGAAACTGCACCTTCAGGTACCCTCCTTTAATGTGAGTCCCCACACCAAGTAAAAGAATGGGTATGCCTAAAACCTCCCCTCCCTGGCAGCCTAGGATGCTGAAGTGAAAATGGAATGGATAGCCAGGAAAATTTTTAAGTAGCTGAAGGAAGGGGGAGCAAGTAGAGAGCCAAAAGTGATGGGACTTTGCTTTCCACAGAGCCAAAAGAAACTAATTTTGTGTGTGACAACACAAATTGGGCACTTCCTTACTCACTCATATACACCACTGCCAAGACTAAATAATCTTGAAATTGTGTCAGGGCTAAAGTGTAAAAGGCATTTGGGCTCCTAAAAATGAGAAGCAGGCATTCAAGAATGAGTAAGAGCTTTCGTCGGAGGAAGAGCGTGGAGTGCAGAGCAGCTTCGATTTGCCATGCATTCTTTAGGGAGTCATGGGAAAGAACAGCTGGCTCGGAAGATTTCCCTGGTGAATGGCAAGCTCTACCCATAGGTCCAGAGGGAGAAATTGCAGGATTGAAGAATTGAGCCCTGGAAAAGCCTGCACATATGCAAAGGCTGAGTGGCTTCTCTTTAAATGATTATAAGTGTAGCGAATTTGTAAGTGCTGCTCAATCCCATTATTTAATATCCATTGTATCAGCTCTGTAGGGTGCGTAGGGAGCTCATGATGCTCCTCTTAGTCACATTGACTGATCAGACTGTATCACCTCAGGTTTTGTACAGAAAAAAGTTATCTGTATCCAAACTTAATTCTCAGCATTTTATGTGTTCAAGTCCTATAAAAACAGGTGATTCTGAGGAGACATGACAGTAGCCTGGTGCAATTTTAAGAAATTTCCAAGACACCCTCTGTGTTTATCTTTGGCTGTAGAGCCAGATGAAAGGAACAGATACCTTGTATGTTAGAAGACAAGTGAATTAATAGACTGCTGTATCTCACAAAAAAGTAAGGAAGGAAAAAATGAACGAATGAACTCTGACTTTTCTTAAGTATACAGGGCAGCTGGGCTCTGACTGATGTTTACAAAAGTAGATGTGTTTGAAGCAGCACCACGTGGAGAACCATGAACAGTTTAAGGGTTAAGCAGGAAGAGCCTTAAGAACCTACAAAACTGGGGAAACATCACCTCTAAGATGCATTTATCTTTTTCTGAAAAACAATTCTTGTAAGTTAAACAAAGGATAACTTCTGTATAAGGTCCATGAGAAAATGAAGAATTAAATTATAAGAAATATGAACAGAAGTAGCAGTTCTGATGCACGACAGTGAACAGTTTCACTGCATTCAGACATTAATTTTAGTAACCTATCGGGTAATGAGAGGAACTTTTCTTGTTCTCATGCTGTTCTTGCTTACAGATGAAGGAGCAGGTTTCAGGTCACTAGAATTCCTGCAGTGCTAGTCCTTGCTTCTGTTTATGAGTTGAAACAATAAAAGCCTTAAGCAGATGCCTGACTTCAGAATCCTGAGTACTGCTGTTCAACACTGAAACAGCAACCTTGATGTGTATTAATAAATCCATGGATGATAGGATTGTTTACAAGCACTTTTCCAATTCAAAATAAATCAAGCTTCCAACTGATAGAAATTGTTGAAAAATAAGGACTTTGCACTTCTTCCTTCTTCTAATATAAGATGGTCTATAAAATGAATAACAAAAAAAGGGGAAAAGACCATTCCTTTTCTTCAGGGCGTGCACTGTGATATCCTTTTGCAGTTCTTTGCTGTATGTACTTTGATAAGTTAAAAATACCTCCAACGTACACAAAGACTAGCCAAAGAAATGCTATTATTTGCAGAATAGCAGCACCAACATATTACACTTTCAGCTAATTATAATAATGTGCATATTTTATGTGAGCAATAGGAAAGGATATTACTGTTTAAATTATTCTGTGTTGGCTTTTGGAGGACAAACACTCATTGTTGACAACTATTTGATCTGTCTCATAATACTGTTATGATGACAAAATAAAACTATACTTTTTTCTCAATTTCTGTGATCTTTCACCTAGATAAGAACCAACACCTGGCATCTTTTCAAATTTTCTTTTTTTCTTTACATCAGTAGCAGAAGTTAAAAAGGTAACATGAAAAGAAAGATGAAAAAGGAATGCTGTTCAAATTGAAGGACTGCAGTTTCAAGTTTCAATCCTGTATCAAAACATCTCCGCCTCATCTTCTTTTTCAGTCATCACAAATGAAATAGTACAAAGAAGTACACAAACATCAGTACAATGCTGTGTGTGTACTGCTATCCAAAAATCACAGTTACAAAATTATACCTGACATATCAAAAACTGACAGTCACATCCTCAAGATTTTCTTCTGTTCATTCCCATGGACCTTCTTTATTAATAAATCTGACACATAAAAAGCATCTGTATGACTAAAGTGTCAGTTACTGGAAAGACTGTTTTGATCTACTTCTTAACTTTTAGAAGAAATATTCTCTTTTTTATGAAGACAGAATCTGTTCACTGACTGCCAGCTTTCAAATGACCACCTCTTGAAGTTTAATTTTAAGTTTTAAATAAATATTGTATGCATGCAGAATAATTATGATGCTCTAGAGAGACTGTGTATAATGACATTGATTCTTTTTTATCTAAAAATGCCAAACCCTTGAGGCGGAAAAGTCTGTATTTGCCACAGATATATGGAAGTTCATTCGACATGTTAAATTATAATAGCTTCTTCATGTTTCTGTCACTAAGTCAGTAGTGAAACTTCCATTGTAAACTTCAATTTCCAATTGCTTAAAACTTACTGGTAAAAATTGTCTTTGGCCAAACATTTGATACAGAGAATTTTAGCCGTGGAATAACTTCTACTACAATAAAAGATAATTTCTAAATTCTGATATAATGCTGTGTAACTCCTGAAAAGAAAGCATATTGGGTTTGGGTGAATGTTAACAGTCATTACTGAAACAAGCACTGTCTTTCACTGATAAATGTAGTGGACATGTTATTCATAAAAATATACAGTCACTTCACTTCTAAAAAAAACCTGAAATTGGATATTTAAGTGTGAAAATTGGCATTTTTGCATGCAAATCAGCTTCTTATTTATGTTATATTTAGTATATAAAAATAAATGTTCTTGTTTTATAATTAATCTAGTGCCCCAAATTACTGCAAAGCCATAGAGGAAATTCAATAATGTGCACAAAGATAAAACCAAGTTAATTTTTTAATCTGTTGTTTGGTTCACTGCTTAGGTTAGCAGTCTTACTTCTGAAAAAGTGATTTCTTTTACTGAATACATATTTGATCATTCAAAATATTTACAGAGCCTTTAAAAAAAGACCAATATCTTGTATACCTGCATTTGCTTTAAAAATCCCAATAACGATGATCTTACTATATTATTAATTTTTGTTCTCAATATTAAAAAATAACAAAGACAATATTAACTATAATGTTACTATTAATTAATAAAAATTCTTAAGAGAAAAAAAAAAAATCAGTAAATACAGAATGGAGTCCTTCATATCACAATCCAAAATCAACCTTTTGGGAACAATCACCCTAAATTCATGCAAGCATTGAGAATTAGGGGGAGAAGGGTCTGAAGACTACAATAAGTACCCATAACAATTTCCTTTGCAACCACAGCTTTCATTAAGTTCCTTGAATCATACTTTCCTCTTATTTAATTGCAGCTAGAAATGATTCATCTGATACTGTACTAGATATGAAACTCCTACTGATTTTTTGTTGGGTGAGAGACGGGCACATTAGCAAAGCAAGTCATTACACCTATCTAAATACCTTTTTTAAGTCAGGAGAATATGTCTGCTGTTTAAGCCTAGCAGACTAGATGCCTAAATTTTAGGCGGTTATTCTTAAAAGAGAGATGCCCATCTTAGTGTTTGGAGTGAATAATGGCATAAGAAAAATAATAATAATATCCTAACATTTCAGTAGGTATTTCAATGCAAATAATTCAACTGTGTTTAGACAAAGTTGAAGTCTAGCAGAAAACACGCCAAAACAGGTTGAAATATGTAGACTAAAATAGCAACTCTTCTCCCATTACATTTCATGTATGGTTGGCTCAAATTGTTTGGTTTCAGGAATGACAAGAATCAAGTGCCTCTTACCTCAGAAGGCTCAAAACATTCTCTCCAGAAGAATGTACCCTCATAAGACAAGAGTCTCCCCCCTGCAATCAGGCTCCTTTCCTATGGTCTTGCCATTCAATCCTCAGCCAAGGTCCAGAAGGCATCACTGCCCTCCTAGAATTTTTTTTAGGTCAGAATTAACAAGACTATGCCAAAAGTATCACATATATTAGTCATACAAATTTTGTTTCATAGAAAGTGGGATTCATCTCATTTACTGTGAGAGTTCTCACTTGAGCAACTGAAGTCCTTGTATACTCGTAGAGAGAAATAGATAGTCTAGAGTGATTCATTTTATTTATATCTCTTAACTGTCTTGAAAGAAGATTAGTCTTACTCTAAAACCAGTATTTCTTTACACTGATTACATAGTGAATATCAACTATATAAACTATGCTTGGTTATGCAGATATCTGTGTATCTGTGTCAAGGACCTCTAAAGTTAGAGTGCTGAACTCTATAAAAAAAAAAAAAAAAAAAAAAAAAAAAAAAAGAAAAAATAAAACTCAAAACAACCCTGCACCCCTAACAACCAGAAATAACCCCCCACTAATTTCCTTTTTTTATCCAGATATCTCTTTTATTTATTGCTAAGTTAATTTAATGTTTCATGAAGTATGTTTTTTCATCACATATTTTAAATGTTTCTCTGCTTGAGATCCAATCTTCAAGACAACTGCTGTCGGACGTGCAGGTAGACAAAACATAGCTATCTCCTACAGTCGTCCCCATGTGCTAATCTTTTAACTTCCCTCTAAAAACAAAAGTTTTCATGGTTTTCAATTTAAGGTGTTTGCATAAGCAATTGAAAGTAGCATTACCCAGTTTTTATCATTATTTTAAAGCAAAATTGACCATTGATTTTATAAAAAATTGCTCCAGAAATTTTATTTGGCCCAATGTAAATTAAGATTAACATCCTTGTTTGCAATTTTATTTCTCAGATTCAGTTCATTATAAATTCTCTTAGTATTCATTGCAATTTTACTGAGTATAATTGTTTTGCTATTCATGTGGCTGTCAGAAGGATTTTTATAGGCCATCCGTTATAATTAGACACACACTAATAGACATTTAAAGCATGTTACCATTTTTAATAAAACTTGAAGATGGGGTCTACTAAAAAGGAAAAGACCTGACTGAAATGTGAATACTTCATTTTAAGATACTTAGCTTTTAGTCCTGATATTCCTGTAATAGGAGGCTTTCAAATATCTTTGTTCACCTGAATCCGGGACACTGACCTGGATTCGGTTAATGATGTACTGTCTAGTTATGTACCTCCTAAACTGAAGAACAGTGTCCCGTTGAAAGGTATTTGGTCATCCAGGAATCTCCAAGACATCAATAATTAGGTCAGTTAATACCCTCATAATTCTAGAACACTCCAGAAAACCAGTAGACCAGTATTTCAAGTCCAAGAGGGGGAACTTTTTCCCTGGGGACTTTTATGGCAAGGTAAGAGACCATTTGTGGAAAGAATAGACATTATACCCTTAAGAACAGTCTTGGTGATTATCCATCATCTATTGAATTTTTGGTAGCCTAAAAGTTCCCAAATAACTTCCATTAGAAATAAAGTGTCTCTTATTAATGGAGCCAGTAAGGCTATCAACGACATCACACTCAATTTTTTACTGTGCTGTTCTGGTTTATAAAGGAAAAATGTTAAACGGGTACATTGTATTCAGTCTTTTTCAGATAGAAAGGCAAAGGAAAGGACACTTAAACAGTGCTAGAGCAGTCCCTCTTTCTCTGAGCACTCTATTTATGAATGTGTGTACATGAGGTAAATGAGTCTCTTCACTCATCCACATAACATAAAATATTTGTGAAAGAAATTTGAAGACTATCCTTTCCAGAGGTATCTTATAGGCTGGTGGTTAGGAGCCTCGCAGGGATACGGGAAATGTCTTCTAGCCTGGGAATAAGGATGGGAGAGATCCCATGTGTTCCTGAATCCAGTCTGAGGCTATCCAGAAAGGTCATTATCTTCTTCCAGTAGTTTTGTAAAGTTAATTCCATAACAGAATTTCCAGCCAACATTTTTTAAATTATATAACCTCATATCAGCCAGCCTTACTTTTCTTAGGAAGCGGGCATTTGCCAAAAAGAAATTGTGATGTTTTAGCGCAACAGTGTGACAATACTTTCCTCTCTTTGCTTTTCAATTAGGGAATAAAACAAATTCTTGTCATAAAAACACTCTTATTACTACCTAAGCTTAGAAACTATGTTTTCTCCTCAAGCCTGCATGCCTTAAGCCAGAACTGACTGCATATAGCATTGGGGCTGTATATGACATCTGTGTAATTTTTTTGTTTCTTGGTGCTATTTTGCAAAATATCCCTATGAAGTCATTGAAAGGTCTTTTTGTTTGTGTTTTCCTGAGTGGGAAAGGGAGGAAATTCTGTGATGAGCTTTATCTTGAGACTCTATCAATCAACCTATTCTGGGGTCAGGCTCACTTTCTAAAAACCTTTCCATGTTTTAAAGATGCTGTACACTTTCTTGTCTCATGTCCATAATAGTTATAACTAGGAATAATCTTGCAAAAAAAATCCACAGTATCTTCAAACAGGCCCACAACATTTCAAACATTTCCCTGCTGCATTTTACACAGACTTCAATATGTTAAAATAATATAACATTGTGAGGATTATCTAGCAATATATGAAAATTCTATATCTCAGTGCAGATTTGTATTTTGATCCAAATTTGTGTTTAATGGTTTATTCTAAAACAAAGTTATTTTAATTACTACATAATTTTATCTGCTAGACAAAAAAAGTGTTTAGTTACAGTAGAGTTTCAAAACTCTTTAGTGTACCTTATGGTACATTAAGCCAAAAGAAAAGACAAGAAGAAAAATAAATGTTATAAAATGAAGACTTACACAGTTTTTATCTTAAATTGTGCTTGCCAGGCAGAAAAATCAAGTATCTCTCAATACAGGGTGAGATACTTTCAAATGACTTTCCTAGTAAATGTAGTATGGGCTAACTTACTTGTATTAAGTTGTTAGCTCATTCATGGAATGAAGGGGCATCTGAGTACACTACAGCAGTACAGTTTAGAGCCTTAAACAAATTAGCCTCTAAAGACTTAGAGTCCAAAGTGAAGACAAAGCTCAATTCAATAAGTCTTTTAAAATTTTTTTTCCCTAAAAGCTAGAGATTTTATATGCCTCTAGAAAGTAGAGAAATTAATAAAAAAAAGTCAATAAACTTTAATTCACAGTAATTAAGCAACTATCTCCTCATACATTTTATTTGCAAATTAAGAAAAAATAAAGAAAAATCCCATTCCTATATAAAAGAAGAAACATTTACAGAAGAAGAATTGGATTGTTTTGTGATGCAGGACTCCTTGGGGATAGTTTCAGAGCACTATTCTAAGTAATCCTGTAGGACACAGTTTCAAACAAACTACATTTCTACAAAGGGTTTTTCTCCTGTGCCATGTAATGCATGTGGAGATGTATGTATTCAGGAAAAGAAAAGAAAATTAATAAATGGAAGAAAGATAATAAATTAATTTAATGGTCTTTAATGGAACTCTTGTCTAAATTCTCTTCTCTTAAAACTGATAATATATAAGTGCAAGTCCTTATCCTTAGGTATGTCTTAGTCTAGATTGAAGCAAGAGACTCCAGGTCAGACATATGGTGACTGAAGAAGTGCATTTTATTTATTCATATATCTTAATGGGAAGTGTGTATTTCAAGAGACTAAAAATCTCTGAAAGAGCCAATTACTCTCAGCTTTTTAATTCTGGCAGTACATTTGGAACATTTTCATTGTTCTAAGGGTTAAAAACTTCACCGTGACAATGATGAGCCTTATTACTCAGTCAAAGTAAATGGATCACCATATAACCTTTCAGAAATGTTCTTCCTTAAGCTATTAAAACATTCCATGCCCTTAGATGACAACAATTTCTCTGCCTTTTGAAATTTCTTTTCTATCCTGCAGAGTTCATAGAGATATGCTTGGTTAAAATCAACTTATATAAAACTATGCACTGTAAATTCTGACACTTCTGTTTGAATCTCTTTTCAAACACTTGTCTTTGCTCACCATAATAGATGTCAGTTCTTCTGATGTAGTTCAAGCATGAGCTTCATATGAAGACTCAGCTATGTCTATTGCATTTCTGAAGCTACTACTCACTGAAGTTTTGTGCTGTTTGACATCAAAGATAGGCAAGAATCACCTGCTGAGTTCACATGCATGGAGCAAAACATCTTCAAATCACTTGTGCTAGACAAAAGTTTTTCATATTAAGCTTTCACTATCATGTGGACTTAAAGACAAATGTAGACCTTGTTAAAGTTGCAGCATATTGTTATTAAACTACACATCTGGGCCTCTTGATTTAAAAAAGTTTTAAGCAAAAGATAATAATTTAGCTGATTTATTTTTTGGCATCAATTGCAAAGAATTCTGTTCCACAAAAAAAAAATTGTTTTTCATTCAATATGCAGTGATTTAGCTTAAAGGTAAAAACAATTTGAAAGTGTGATATTCTCTAGCTTAGACAAAAGCCACAGTGTTCTACTTTCTCAAACTTTTAGAGCTGACTTTTTTTATCAAATTGAAAACCAGAAAGAAGCAACAGTTAAAACATATATTGTATATCAAGAACATAAATTAAACAAATTCCTATTCTAAAAAGTTCACAAATCTGTTTTTAGTATAATTTTATCAAATAACATGGTGAAAAATAGATAGAACTTAGAAGAAAAAATATTTATGAAGGATCAAGAACTACTGTATAATGGATTTGAGTCTAATGGAGACTAATCAGTGTAATAACTGTGCCATAGTTTTTAATCACAATGACTTCAGTGATGACTCTGTATGTAAACCAGATGCAACGTGAATATGCATAGGAATTAGATTTTGGAACAGTTGTGTATGAAAAGTGTTTATAATTAGCCCACATTTAAATGTCACCAAGTCACTGCATTAAGTGCAAAGCAAAACACAACAGGGTGTGTGGCTGTTGTGAGATAATTGAATGCCTTGGGTGTGTCAGCTCAGTCAGCAGATGCCGAGATGTAGTTGCCAATTTTAGCAGACCAATGATTTTACTGTTATAAGGCCTCCAGAGTTTCTTATTAAAGTGCCTTGAAATTAATTTAAAAGAAAAAATGTTTTTCCCCTAGTATTGTTTTTCCATTTCTTTAGTATACAGATCTGAGGGAGCCAATGTGCCTAATACTTTCCAATCTCTGCTGTTGTTCCATAACCTCAAGGTTAAAAAGCTAGCAGGACAGATCATTAACTGACTCCTGACTATTTAAATTTTTGATACCTAAATAAAATGCCCCCTTTGGCATTTTCAATATTAATGTTTCTAGTTTTAAATACATCTCATATTTACTGAGCGCTTAATGTCTTACAAATAGGAAGCATAGGTGTTCATATGTACATACAGATAGGTTCACTGCATGTTTACTATGTTTTATACGTGTGTAAGGAACTTTTAAGTAGCTTTAAGGACCCTGGTACTTGTTCCTGGGTCACAGGGCTCAGAGGTGCTCCCAAGTATCATGCATTCATCTGTCGTTCTGTTTTTTTTAAAGTTTTAAAGTTCTTTTAAAAGTTTTCTATGTTTTTTGATGCTTACATATTTTTACTTAAGTTTCTCACACACTATTCATATAAACAATGATTGTTTTACATTCTTCTTTGTGAGAGGAGAGAACTGATGAACTGATTGACTAGTATAGTTAAAGTGACAATTTAATTCTCAAATCTACTGTTACTTTTAGAATTCTATATATTGTAAGGTCAGAAGTAAAATTTCTTTCTTTTGTTCTTTTACATCTTGGAGTGAGTACGTGACATAGTGCGACACTCATCCAAGTTTTGTGCTAATGACATCATGCAGTGAGATGCCAGCAGATGAACTTACCTTGCTTTCCATCTGTCCCCTCCTCAAGTCTTGTTTTTCACATAAAAATCCATGCATGTTGGCTGGCAGGGAACCATGTCTGCCCCAGCAGTAACTGTGTAACACCTGAAATACTTCAAAAATATCCAAGATTTACCAAATACCAAAAGCTTTGGAAAATACCTTTTCATTATAGGCTCAAATACACAAACACATGAGAATCTGCCAGTAAAAGTCTCCTAGACCTTACAGACCATAGTATAACCTTAATATGGACTAAGAAGAGTCCAAAGCTGGAATGATAAAATGTCTTGTGAAGAACAGCTGTGCTAAGCAGCACAGAGTAGGAAATCTGGTGTTAAGGTGGTTGAGACAGGATATGGGCTGCAGATTATGTTCGTTTACTTAAAACACAATGAATGTCTTGCCTTTGTAGTTGTGGCTCCTTCAGATCTGTCAACACTAATTTAATATCCTACTCTTAACATGAATTGTGTTCAATAGAAGGCATTTCAGGATGTATTTGAGCCGGTGCTCAGATTTAATTAGAAATGAGAAATATAGCAGATGGAGAGAAATCATTGTTGCACAATTGGGCCATAATGCAAAGAAATTTCTCTAACAGTTGACAGTTAAGAACTGCTCGATTAGCAAACCACAGCAAAAGAAAAATAACCTACAGATAAAATTAAAAAGCAGGATAACAGCTGCTCCAAAGCCTTTACAAAAATCTCTTATGAAAACCAGAAAAAGACTCACCATGACACTGAATGCCACCATAAGAAAACTAGATTCCAGTAGTGGTATTAGAGTTTAGCATCTATGAAGCTGCTACAGAAGTGACCCTTATATTTGGCTTTACTTTCAGAGGAGCTCAAAAGAGACATTTTGTTATCAAAGAAAAAAAAATTCAAAGGGAGTCCTCTACTATTAGTTTTGCATGGTATAACTCTGATTTCCCCATATTTTGCACAACAGAGGCAAGATTCTGTACACAGGAATTGTATGCTGCCCAGATAAAAATATTTTGCTTTAATGAGCTTTATACACCCAGTCATCCTAACATCTGAGTCCACAATACACAGAAGAAGTAAGCAACACATTAAACTAAACTATCCACAAGAGGAAGCACAAAGCGCCAACAGCGGGCAGGTCAGCAATCCCTCATTTGTGAGGTATCAAAGACTGTTGATAGATCTAATAAAATTACTCTGAACATCTGACCTTTGTCCATGGCCAGGAGGAATGCAGTTATACAACCGGGGAAGGGAAACCACTGGTGACAAAATGCAGTTTCAAATAAACTATGCTTCTACTGGCAATTTTTCTTTATCCACTATCGTGTAATACGCAGAGGGATACACAGTATGCATTTAGAACAGGAAATGAAAGTGAAAAAAATGGAAGCTAAAACTGACACTAACAATACTTAAATTGCTTAATGGAGATGCTGTGTACATACTCCCCCAGGCAACAGATCCTTGTAAGTGTTTAGAGCTCCTAATTGTACCGTTTGTCTTAATAAACAGCAGGTTACAGAAACTCCAGGTCAAATGTTAGACAACAGAAAGGTTTTGCGTACAATTTATTCAAAAGTTTGACTGTATCATTGTACATTAGTAGGAAATCAAACCTCAGAGTTATGAAGCTAATTATACTGCCAAACATCTCAAAATATGTGTTCATGTGTGTGTGTATTTGGATAATATATGTGTGGTTTTGCATTAATGTGCATATTATATATATATATATATATATATATATATATATATATATACACATTTGTAAAAAAATACATCTAGCTGTTCTTTTTCTGGGGCCTAAAGGTATCACCAACAGACAGAAGCTTTTCTCATGTCTCTTCTATTTATTTGATAAGTAACAGAAGAATTTAGCACTCAAATATTTCTTTTTCAAGGAAAAAGCTAGGAAATTTTTTTAGATTATTTTAAATCATAGTTTCTCTGCTCAAGTAGTTCCTTACCTAGCCTCCCTCTCTGTTTTACTGGGTTAAATAACAGTCTTATAATCACCCCAAGGATCTCTCCTGCAAAGTGACTGTATCAGAGGATCCAACACAAGCATGAACAAGCTGTTTAAAATAACCTGGGCTTCCTTTGGTGCAGATATGCAGGAAGGAAATTACATGGAGCAATACTAAATAAATACGAGAACTTCCTTGGGTTTTCAGGGTGCTCTTCTGCAGTTTTTCATATTCCCATGCTGCTCTGCTTGTGCCAGTTGTCTCTGGAAAAGCTGTGTCCATCCTGGCATAAAGTACTTGTGCTTTACAAGTACAAGGTGTTGTGATACCCTACTAGGTTTTTCCAAGAGAGAACCTTTGCTCAAGCTTCAGAACTCTCTGGGTACAAGAAACCTCATCCCTGACATAATCTAGACACGCTGAACACTTTGACAAGTAGATACTACAAGAACCACTATCATTTCTGGGAATGCTGCCTCCATATTAGATCCAAAGACGCTGAAATGCCTTTCATTTAACTGAGTACTTTTACTTTTGTGCTTATAATGAATTTACGACACCAGGGAATTCACAGGAACATGTTAGGCAGATGGCTGAAACACATACAGAAGTGTATGGGTGATGTAATTAACTAGGTTTAAGACTGTTTCCAAACCTGCTTCTATTTCCATCCTGTTAGAAAATATGAATATTCTTCATAAATATTTTGTGGATTGGTGTAACACAGCTTAAAAAGCCAAAGGACTAAGAGGTGTGTAATGAAAGTAATGATAAAATAAAGAAAGTAATGATAAACCACAGATTCCATCCCTGCCATGATGTAAAAAAATGATACAGAAACCTTTGAAGAAAAGCTCTTTTATTGGTCCTCCTAAAGTTTTTTTAGGTAAATTTAAGGAGACAGTTTATTAATTGGGGAAAAAATAGCTTCTTGAAATTGTATCAATTTTATGATATTATTCTTAAACAAATGAAATTTAGAGCTAATGTGGACCTATGGTAATTAATTAATTATTTAATTGCCATAGGTGGTTTCTACAGAAAATCTCTCCATGTCCAGACTAAAACACAAAAAGCCAAATAGAAGTAGCTAATATTTGTGAACCCAAGGAACAATATTGTTTTAAAGAAATCTCCCAACTCTGTCAAGGAGTGCTGTAAGAAATCTGTGCAGGTAATTTTTAGAGTACTCAGATGGCAAACATATCCAACAGAGAGGAGCTGGCAATTCACCAGCCAAAAGTCCCTTGTCACAGCCATTTTCTAACTTGAAAAAGAAACAAGTAATTGTGCCCAAGTCTCAAAGCCAAAAAAGCAACTAGACAGTTTTATATATATAACCACTCAAATTCGACAAGAATATACAGAATACTCTTTTTTGAGGTTTTCATCTCTACCCAAAAAAAAATAATTTGTTGAAACAATCCTTCATCTGAAAAAACTAGCATGCAATTAACCAGGGACAATATGCATAATAAAAAAATACAGATCTTCTTTGTTCAAATATATCTCCTAAGATTATAATAAATCATGTTATTCTTCTGAGTATACATTTTAATTATGTTCAGAATGGCAAAAGAAACATGCAATAAAATAAAAATTTTAAAGAAAAAAGTATTTTAAGAGTTGCTATGAAATGGAACTGTGCCCTTTCTGAGGGTTCCCTATGGAACATTTAAGTGAAGCAAATATACATCTATTTAAAATTTATTTATAGATAAAATAAATGCAGGATAACCTCCACTGTTGTTTGGGGTGGGTGAGGGAGAGGGTGTAGGGAGGTTAATCAAAAATCTTACATGAGTAACAAAATCAAATATTGATAGTTTCTTTGAACATCCACTATCTTATTAAACTAATTACTACAGTCTCTGAATATGAAGGAGAAAGAAAGGAAAGAAGACATTTTAAAACAAACATTTTAAAACTGATATTAAACTTGTTGCTGAGTCAAAAATTTTTCTTCCTTTTTTTTTTTTTGTATAATGATTTGTAATCTTAAAGCCTGTGAATAACATATTTATCCTATTTCGGCTATTTTGACTTGGTTTTAATAGCAAACTTTAAGATCATAATCCCAGAAGAATTATTTTCCCCTACTCCAAAGAGTAGTTCATTCTGTGTCTACATTTACTGCCAAGTGTTACTAAACAATAAGTCTTCACATAAAATCTTCCTCACCTACTCCACTACTCCACTGATGTTTCTCTTCCAGGGCATTTAGACGTAGAAAGAAACCACGGGTGCATAAGTGGAGAGGTTTGCCATAGTGATCTGTAAACTTCTATCACAATAGTCAATATATATTTAGAGTAGTCTTTTAATTAATTGCAATATTTGCCGAGAAGCTAAAGCTTTTAAAAGTATAACTAACTCTTGTCAATTTTTCTTGTTATTTATTATGAGAGAGAACCAGCAATTTATCATCAGACACCACAAGCACCACTTATCATAAAATTATGTAACATGAATCCTCCTGAGTGAACAAGACCGAAAAGATCATAAAAAGGTCTTGGTTTGTTCATTTAAACTCAAATGAAAAAACAATAAACTGTGGCCTGGTTACATTCAATACAAATGTGTAAAATGAATACACAATATAAATAGTAAGAACTCAAAGTAAAAATTTTTGTATTGTCATCATAAATGAGTATAAATAAATACCATTAGACAAAGGTTATATTATCCCATTTTTTAATGACACGCCATTTTCTACAGCATGAACTCTATTTCTGTCTTTATCATATGCTGTGTATTTTGTCAATAAGCAGGAAAAGGAAGTAAATTTCCATCCTGTTCTGGAATAAAAATAAAATTTTATGTACAGCAAAGAAGTTACTGGGAAAACTACCATAAAATATGGCCTGTACTGCAGCAGTGAGTGATCTCACTATTGTAAATGATCATCCTGCCAAGTGTCACTAGGCACCTTTTGCATTCCATTCTGGAACTCATTTGCAGTAACAGCAATACAAGATCATTTGGAATGACAATTCTGCTTACAATATATTTTTTCAGGACTCACTTTAAACAAGGAAGATAACACCTTGTATAGTGATGAAAACAGAATCTATCTTGTGATTAAATCTGACATTTTCATTCTTTTACATACCAGCCAGAATACTGAGATCAAATATTGAGGAGATGTATCCATACACCTCAGCTGAACAACTGCAAAACATCAAATCATATGGCATGCATCCAGAAAAGTATGGGACCTAAAGACAAGCTACACAAAATACATTCAAAAATTACACAAAACAAATTTCCTCCTCATCTTTATCTTATATTTCTATGGCGACTTCTTTCATCATCAGATCACAGGACAGATCATTGCCCAGCTTACCTTCATATTTGTCATTGACATGGAGAGAGACCCAAGTCATCCTGCCAAGGGCTTTCTGACTGCTCTGAGATATGTTAAGGCCACAACTAAGCCAGTGGCCTTTTCCCAGCATTCACTGTTTTGACAGTGGAATTTGATGCACTCTGCAGCTCTGGATCTCTTCTCACAGCATGTTTCACCCATACTCAGCCTGGAAAACTCTTTTTTTTTTTTTTTCCATAACATAAGGAATGTTCACAACATGTTGGCTGCTGCACATAAAATCCAGACACTTCATATACTCTATAAAAAACATACGGGAAATTAAGACAGCTGCATGGAAAGCATAATTTTCTTTCTATCAACTGAAAAGAGGGTTACAGACAGCTGAGGACATGTCCTTCAGGACAGAGTGGTCAGCATGGAAGAACAGCGTATATGACACAGTGAGATGTTCACCACAAACCTCAGAGTGATTAAATATGAAGTAGATATACTTCTCAAGGAATCCACACATGAAACACAGACGGCAAACCACACTTCCTATCTCAAAGACTGGCAAAGCAAAGAGAAACATTTCTGTAAAAGAAGTGTTATGTCCACATGTGCCATCTGTCAACATCTGCTGCTGGAGCACAAAGAGGTCACATAGGCTACAATTTGAACGTTTTTTGATTTCAACATATTGAACCACTTTCAAAACTATGTTGGCACCCCTCCTGTGATGAGATCTGTCTAATTTCTCACTATTTTTGAAAAAGTGAGCAAAACAAGAGAGAAAAAAATCTTGAAAGCAGCCATGCCAGAATGATCTGTTATACTTTAGCCTGATGAGACCAGTACCACTAGGCCTTTCTCATAAAGAATATGCATACAAATTATGCAATTGCCATTAGGCAGACACTTTGTTGTAGCAACATAGAGACACTGTCATTACTGTAGCTCTGCAATTCCTTATAACTTAGGAGTTCTTAAAAAATTTTCCACCCTATAGGACAGTGTCTGAGCAATTCACAATTCAGAATGTGTCTTATAACCACTACTCCCTCATGGGGAAATAGACTGATTTCTGGTGGGGTTCTATTAGAAATAGGACATAAAGGAATTAAGTGACATGTTGAAAACCACTTGAGCAATCTGAGGCATAATGGAAAACTGAATTCAAAGACTTTGAATGCCAGGCTCCATAAGATAACCAAGAAAGATATTTCCTGTTTAATATTAATACTTCCTGTATGCTTGGGGAAGTGATCACAAGGAACGAAGAATTATGCAAGCATCAGGAATCAAAAACATCCATAGAAATAAATGGGGAAACTTTTATGTCCAGAAGACACTGCTTTTACTGCTACAGATAATGATAGCGCAGCTGGTCCTGACACTGGTGAGTGGGACGTAATGTCAGTTCTGGATGAGGAGCTGCACTGCAGCAAAAATTCTGATCATGAATCCCATGATACCATATCAGCATTTAACAGGTCTGACTTTCATGCCTAGGAAACAACTGACTAAAATTCCAAGCAAAAAATCAGAGAAATCATTGTCAACTCTATTTAAAATGTTTTAAGAAAAAGCACTAATTATTATTGTCTACTGATCAACTACAGAAAGCCATGGAAGGGTGAATTGAATATTTAGAGGAAGACTGATACCCTGCCGAAATACACATTCTTTAATTTTAAGCTATATTTTTGGTGCTGTTTAATACCGTCTATATTTGGCAGGCTAAATTGCCATATTTTTGGCTATAATACTAAAGCCATGAGGAACAATTGACATTTAGTTGAGAAAACAGTTACAATTTCCTTGTTGTTTGAATAGCAAAATAATCACACTGACATTATATTCAAATAATCAAAGACTTATTTACAAAAAATTAAGGTCTCCCTCCTCTTGATATGAGGAAGAGATGCCTTGCAGCCCCTAGATCCCCTTGTAGTCGCCTCTGCAATAGTCATAGATATTTCCCTTCTTTTTTGAGTTTTTGCTATTAGCAACTGTTGAATATTTTTTTTTTTCTTTTAGGTCAGTCTTCCATGTTTAAAAATTAGTCTTATTCTTGAAATATTTTTCCAATTTTTCTAGATTTTATTATTACTGTTGTTATTTTGTTTCATAGTGCTAATGCATGAGGACAGAAGTCAAGTCCATGCGCATGACCTTGTACAAATGCACAGCAAATGTAGTCTCTTAACTGATTATTCAGAGACAGTTAACGGTTAATAATGCCCAGATTTCACCAACTTTTGTCTGTCCATGGTATTTGTTAATTTTGGGGTTTGTTAATTTTAACAATGTTTAATTTCAATTACTATTTCAATTTTCTTTGACAAAACCTCACCTATAATTCTGGGTTGATTAACACCTCTGTGAGCTCCAAGAGTTCTCAACAAAATTAAAGTAGACATGAAATTATATCTTTTATCTATTTAATATGGAAAAAAAAAGAGGTAGTAGAGCCATATGAAGTACAAGCCATTACACTTGTTTGATACACTAGAATGAAGCAAAAGAAGGCCATAGTCTAATTTTTTTAGCAAATCCTTTGCAGTTCACCTTTAAACTAAAGGTCATCGGGTGAGAATCCGTGTGTTTGAAAGCACTTGAACTGCTTAGGGAGTTCATCTTATCTGTATTATTCATACATATTTGACGATTATAAGTCACAATGGACTGAAATATTTCTGGTCTTTCACATCAGCAGGCATCCAGAGAGCACTGTCTTTTATTTACTGACCATGTTAAAAATGGCACACTTTTTTATTATTTTATAATAATATGCTGTCTGACCAGTTCAGAGAGATCTCTAATAATGTCTCAGTCCAACCATGGGTCTCATTATGTTGGTAGGAACTGTCATGCAACTGTGAATGTGCAATAAGTGTAGAGGTACAGTAAATGGCAGAAAAATATGAAAAGCATTCTACTTTCAGATGCTGCACAAAGCTATTTATTCCTACTACACTGACTGAACTAAAAATTGAGGAGAGAAAATGAGAACTATACTTCATGGCCTTCTAAATTTAAACAAAGAGGATTTAAGGATATGTCTTACAACAGAAAATGAGAGATGTTATACAGTGCGAGACATGCACTTAGCATTTCTTATATTCTATCCATTGTTTTTTAAAGCTCAGCAGCACATTGATTTCAATGGAAGTTCTGTTTAAAAATCAATACTATACCATGACCTAGGTAACAATGTAGATAGTACACACATTATTCAGAAATTACGTGATTCTGCTCCAAATCTAACACCCTTACCATGGGCATGTTCTTCTGACTGTGGTCTCACAGAACATTGTACAACAACAGTACAATTGCATCTCTAGATTTCAGTTTATAGAAACCAGAAATATTTGTCTTTTCATTAGATTTTATGTACTAAATTGCATAAAGTATGCCATATAAGTGATGCCTGGATTTCCAAATAAATTGTTACACAGCATGACAAACCAGAAAAAAAGGAGACTTGTTTAAGGATTTTGATGCACAGCTAATAGAATTTATCATATCTTCCTAACCTTGGGTTTGGCCTCCCTATTTGGATGTACAAAATTTTTTACAAAATGAAATGAGAGGTGAATCGTCCATTTGCTCTCTGTCGGTGCTACATCTCTTCTGCTTCTGGCATGACATTTCTTCAACGAGACAGAGTGAAGAAGAAAGGGAACTGGTGAAGTGCCTTTCACTTCATTAACATACCTGTCAACAATATCCATACATACTTCTATTGACAGTCTTTCATTGCAAATCAGTTTGGTTTGCCATGTTGGCATAAATTCATCCCTATGGCGAATAGTGCCAAAAAAATCAGCACTGTGCAAAGAGTAATTATCTGAGAGGCTTGGACTCACTCAAATCTTGCCTGCATGCAAACAGGTGGTTTACATACTAGCACTATCCAAGTACTAAACAAAAAATAAATTTTTCTGCTCAAAAAAAAACCAAAACAAACCGAAAAAAAACCAACCAAAGCAAGAATATTTTTTGAAAGAAGAGGGAAAACAGTACAATCTCATTTTAATATTTTAAACAATATAAAACACTCAATTCCAAACCCAGTAGTCGGGCACACTTTTGATAATATGAAAGCAAAGGAAGGGATACATTCACAACCAGAAAGCAGATTCCTTAATTAATAGCTCAGCTGGTGGGAAATTCACCCAAACTTTGCAAGACTTGTCTTCCAACCAAAACATATGATCCTGAGCTCTCACCTGCAAGGAGAGTGTACTGACCAGCCTGCCCCAGCAAAACTAGCCAGCCCCCAGGGGCTGATCTATGTTGAATGTAGCTCTGTGGAAGAGGTTGGAGCCCAGCAATGGCTTCTGTAATGCACCTCTTCTGCAGTGCTAGAAAACCTTCTTTCCTTTGCTCCATGAATATTTAGGTACCCCAGGCAAGAGGGAACAACTTTCCTCAGAAAGGTGTTGGTTCCAGCATCATCCTGAATCAGACAGAATGAGTTTGGACCAGGGTCTTGTGCCACTCAGGAGAGCAGCCTAACCACTCTGCTATTAGGTGTTCGAGTGTGGAGCTCCTGAAATCCCTCCTGTGGGAGCAGTGGCACTTGCCATAATGTATTTAAATATTAATTGAGCAAGAGAATGTGAATGACTCTTTAAGCCCGACTAGCAGCTAAGGTGCTCTCCTGAGACATGGGAGCTGCGATTTCAGATACCCTCAGGCAGAGTAAGGAATTGAACCCAAGGCTCCCACAGCTGCATCTCTCTTTTTCCCTACATCTCAAGCCAGCCTAAATCCATCCAAAACCACTGAGGTCCATGGACAGCTAAATAACCCCCCAAACTACATTGCTGAGTGAATTTATTGTTCACGAGAAATCTGCGCCCCACTTACAACCCTCTCCACTTTTGCCTGCCTGTAGAGTCAAAGGTCCCAGCATAAGGCACCTCACTGCTCCTATGGGGGTATGTGTGACTCTTCACTTTTGAAATATTAGCACTCTGTTGAAGTGCAGTTTCCCTTTACTTTCTCCTGGTGAGTGATCAGTGGGCTGGGACTGGTCAAGATGATTTATTTTAAGAGTGGGAATTTTACATTGCCACACCGATAATGCCACCTGTATAGTGTATGATATTGCACGAGTGTGTCTGTAGGGAAGACAAAAACCTGAGAGATCCGGGGAAAGAACTGGGGATAGTTCCAAAGTCCCTTAATGTCCTTTAAAGGGAAAGCCAATATGGGAATGTCTTTATAGTACAAATTATGTGGGCAGAAACTGTAAGCCCATTCATGTCTCTAATTGTTCCACATCTGAAGGAGACTACTGCACATCTGTTATTCCACCACAAGAGTGGAATATATTATGAATTTGCCTGTACCTATCAAGCTGAGGGAAGGTTTCACTGAGTAAAAAAGGATTTTTTTGCCAAATTGTGCATCCTTTTGGAAACTAACTGGGGCCAACACAGATGTGTTGAGCTGCAAAAATCCCTCTTTGGAGCATAGGTGGTTCCAGAAGAATCACCATTTTTAAACTCCTGGCAAGGAGCCGTTAACTCATTTATATTATTTTCTGAAAAGCGAGAGAGGACATAAATGCCAAGTGTCTCAGTGTACTTGCTATTTTAATGCAATTAAGTGACTAGGAAAAAAGAGTGATGCCACGTGCAACTGTGTTCCCCACCTGTGAGAACTCTGCAATAAAGCAGTAAAAAATACAGTAGTATGAGGGGAAATTGGCAGTGAGATCTGTGGTCTGGGTTATCCATCCAGTAGAATGTAGCAAGGAGCAGATATTTTGCTGGCTTATATGAAATTATGTATTCTCAAAAAAATGCCTACTAGTCCTTACCAGCACATTTTTGGCTCTCTTACTACTCCCAGAGAAATTTAGCAAAGTCAGATGAAGTTAAATAAATACTTAGTACTATCTCAGACAGTCTTCTGCAGTTAATATTGAGGCAATACAGGCTGCCAGGTTGGGACAGCCGGACATGCCCTCATCTTTTCTCTGTCGGATCTTTGCATTAAGAGACCAATTTGTTTTCTACCATTATTAAATGGTCATATATCTAACATATAAAGAAATAAAATGCTAAATGCTAAAACACTCTTAGGTGAGTGTTCTGGCTTCTTAGATCTACTAACACAGATTAAAGCATGAATTGCCTTTATAAGAAGAATTGTACAAAGAATAAATTGTTTTTATGCTTTCAAAAATAAAACAATTAATTTGGGCCTCAAATCAAAAATAAACAAACAAACAAACAAAAACCCCAAAATCAAACAAGCAATGTACTTAGATTTCTCTTTAATTTATCCTGCACTGAGAAACACATATCTTTTGGTACTATTTTAAGTCCTTATTAAAGCATAAGTATTGTCAATTTGCAATAAATTATTTGAAACATATCAGAGAAAAATAGTTGAGTATTGTTTAGTTTATATACCCTCTTTTAAGGGTGAAAACAACATAAAACCCGTGTTTAGGCTCCTAAGTGTCGTTTTGTGCTAAATTTTTTTTTTTTTTTTGTAGACTAATAAAAATTTAGAACAGCCAACATCATTCATATTAGTATTTTTGTCTTCTTTTGAGGTGATGATGGTGGGCAGTATTTATCCTCCAAAAATAACACATTGGGAGATATTTAGAATATTAAAAAATATAGTAAATAGTAATTATAAAAACCCTATAGTTTTCATCCCTAGCAAAAAGTCAGATTAAGGTATTTGCAGTAAAAATTAGCAAGCAACCACAGTGTTGCTTTCTGGAGCATGTTTCAAAAAAACAAAGTTTCTTCATGTGCTGTACACAAAACAGTGTATTAGAGAAAAAAAAAAATCACACTATCACATCTTACCATTACACTATGATCTGCTCCCCTTTAAATCTTTTGTTATGCCAAATGTACAGGCTGAAGTGGAGTGCCTGATTTTCAAGAACTGAATGTTAGATCCTATACATGAATTAATTGTCAGGTCTATGCCATTTTTAAAGCACTGTTCAACAGGTGTTAATCTACCTGCTGATCACCCAGAAGGAAGCCTCCATTCCACCGAGGAAATTATTAGCCAGAAGCATATATTGGAAGGTCATCTCTTGAATTTTACTGAACAGCTATCCTGACATAAAGGGTTAACAAGCAAAAATCAGTGTGATTCAAAGAGATTTGTCTTCAATAAATGAGCTACATCCTTCTCTTGTGAAAGATTTTGTAAGACAGCAATCCTATACAAATACCACTGGTGCTTTTATATTAGCCAACGGTCTCTGTAACTAGCACAGTTTACAGAAGTAAAAGGATTTTATTGAACATCATATTTGCAAAGTTATCAATAACTTCATACACAGCCCAAAAATTGAAACAGTGAAATGGGTGTGTGTAAATGGAGGAAGAAAGGAGAAAAGAAAGAGGAAAAGTAGAGGGGGTGACAGGGGCTGTTTAAGCACCAAAAACCACACTTCCAAGGAAAAATCTGCAGCAGTCTACATGTACACATAGGCATTGACTGTTCAGCTCTTCAAAAGGCTCTGAGATCTAAAAGACATCTATTTTGTTAATATTTCTTATTTGGGTAATATCTTCTTATTTTATCTGAATGACATTTGCACGTGCAATGCATAGAGAATATACACCAGCAACAAGAGATTTTATATTTAACAGTTTCATGATATCTAATATTTTGTCAAACATTTTATAGGTTTTAGCTTAGGGATAAATTTGAAGCTGGCTTTTCCCCAGTGAAACCTGCAACAATAGAGAAATATATATTGAAGGAAAAGAGAAACTAGGATATCGAGAAAGCCTAACAGAAATCTAACATTTCATTTTATACTTAATAATTACTTTCTACAGACCCCTTTGACTGGGAAAGCTTTTATATCTCGAAGTTGTACTGCTCAGCTATGATGCTGAAAATCGCCAGATTTTTCCTTGCTTCAGATTCTAAAGTATACATATGGTCTGTTTTCTGACATGAAACAGTAGTTTCAAATTCAAATAGCAACATTTCATCTGCCAATTCTTTACGTAAGGTTTAATGGCTAAAAAACATTTCAAGTCAACCTGTAAAACTCACTATTGAGCAGGAAACAGCTAATTTAATAACAGCTAATACAAACAGAAATTTCATGTTTTGTTGTATAACTATGGCAACTTCTACAAATTACTCATCCAGGACTTTTGTTATGTTATGTTATGACTCAGACTTAGTGTTCATCTCTCTCAACTTCCAGTACGGCATCATCTTTCTGAAATGGCTCTGAACTGCATTAGTAGGGCTGAATGTGCCTATCCAGCTGCCCATTAAAAATTACAAACACACAAAACTTCTTTCTGTGTGTGATGGGTGTGAGCAGTGCCTATAAACTCCGACTTTTAGCTCTGTGAACCCAGATTGTTAGGTTGTGGTCTATGACGTGGTGACAAGACCTATTTTATATTCAAAGGAGTGAAATTGCTATAGTATGTGACAAGGAGATAAGTACACCCACCTAGTTTGTTTCAAAGTGGTTCGGTTCTTCAGCATGTATTAAACCCTTCCAGATTTATTCCCGGTGGCTGGCTCTTTGCCAGGGCTTGGATTCTGTTCTGGTGTGCAGTGTGCTGAGTATTCCCAGGTGCTGGTATATTTTTATGCCTTAGTCCTTATTTACAGTTTTTCTAAGGGCTGCTTTGAAGTCTGAACAATCGCGATGCAGTGCACTACAAAGTTCTTTCCACATCCAGCAATCTTTTAATGTAGCCTTAAGTTAAGCCATTTCTAAATGAGAAAATACAAGGATGAGCATTAATAAGTTGTAAAAGGATAGAGCTTGTTTCTTGCATAAAATTAATAATTTCAGTGTACCAGAAATCATGTGAACAAGATATCACAGAACAAGATTAATAACTTAAAATAATCATTCACTCCATCTTCCTAAAACTCTTTCACAATGGCTACTAATACAGTACTACTTTCAACTTTATAGCTCCCCTTTTTACCAGCCCTACTATTATAACACTTGACATGCTTGGCTGCCATGGTGTAATAAAGAGGGGTAAAATGATGCATTAAAAGTCCCTGGTGCAAATCCTATTCGAAATTTTTCAGTCTGGAATAGGCAGCACAAAAAGGCAATACCAGGAATTTAAGGGTCATAAAGTAGTACAAGAAACTCAGCTCTCCAAGTTTCAGTTAACTTTCTAAAAGCCAAATCAACAATAGCAAAAGCTGTAACGATACGTTCAACTTTCTTTTGGAGAGCAGGCACCTAGAGAATTGTAAGGGAGGGCAGGCAGGGAAGCGGCCACATTATGCTGCAGTGTTAGCCAGCATCACTCATATGTGACTCTCAGCAGCTGTCTGATGCAAGTAACTGCTCAGTGCCTGGGCAAACAACATGGCACGGTAGCATGCTTCACACCGTGAGGCAAACAGCACTCTGCGGAACAAGGAAAATCAGAATAAAGCTCTGAAAAATCAATCCTATATTTTGGGGGTTTAGTGCATTCACTCCTCAAAATTAAATTCTCATTTCTTACAGTTATTCTCACAGATTCTTTTCATATTAAAATGTAAGTTTCTCAGTTTAGTGTACACTTATTTTTCAAGGTTTTATTTGACAAAAAAAAAAATAATTAAAAATCTGCATGTATTTGTGGCTACAAAGTGCTTTTATTAGTTTGTAGAAAACATACCTCACTCTATACAAACTATGGGACTTTTGTCACCACATGTTAAATGTTTTTATACTTCAGCAAAATTGTGTTTTTGAAGGGATGATAAATTTGAGAAGGCAGCTCTGGTTTACTGTCAAAGGACAGGTAAACCTAAGCGTCTCTGTCCACGTACAGGATTTCCAGTTGTGGACAAACCTGAGATCCTTAGTTGTCTTTGCCTTAGGTTTACCAGATGGGATATTAAATAACTGAACAGTGCTTCTATAAAGACAAACTATCTGTACAGCATGATGTACATTATTTTATTTTGGGGGAGAAATGTACCAGTGAGTAAATGAGGAAGGGAATATTGGTGAGAGTCAAAGCCCATTCAAGTTTCTGAAATGCTTCAGTTAACTTCTACAGTTTTCAGAGGAGACAATACAAATTTCTAACAGATAGTGATGCTGTATAAGCTGAACAGTACTTTCATCTGCCTCAAAAAGACATGGAGACTAAACCAGAGGAGAAATAACACAGAAGAATATGCTCTACTTTTCCATCACAGGAATACATGTATAACAGATAAACATCCTCCCTTAGACACTGGATCAAGAGCCAAGGGAGATCCTGCATACTTGAAGCCATCAACCACTTAAAACTGCTATTGTCAAAGCAATCTTTTACAGCAGACTGATTTGTATGCAGACCGTTTTTAATAGCACAGAAAGAGTTTGGGACCATGTGTTAGAGTACACAAGTGATTTCCAAAAGACATTTGAAATGTAAAAATTCTGGAGGCTGCCTCCTTCCTTTCTCCCCTTCCCTGCAACATGCATACACATGCACACATGCACCATCAACTTCCACTGACATTTCTTCATTACTATGAAGAAGCTCAGGCTCTCTTGAGGGATTTTGCAAAGCACTGTTCCTCTTTTAAAGTAAGGCTACACTTACGTCTCTCAAAATGATTTCCATAAGTTTATATTCCATCAAAACACATGATTTCAGATCTTAAGGTGTAGAAGTAGTGTTAACAAGGTCCTTCTATGAAGATTTTAAGCTCTTTTGAATGCGATTTTTTTCTTTCTGGTGTCTTCTGCTTGTTAAATTTACACAGGGCATTGGGACATTCTTTGGCATCAGAAGGTACAGTGGGGAAAAAAATGTCCTCAAATCCACGCTGCTGAACTGAAACCTTTGCTTTTCAATCTAGGAAAAAGCTATATCCTGGGTTCAGTCTTATCAAATCATGGTATCTGCAGGAGAGGCTATCTTTCTCTAAGAATAATGTTAAAATGAATTAAATTAAATTTATAAATAAAGTAAAACAAAATAATAAAATACTAAAATGCTCCCCTCTGGTATCAAGCCCTATCAACTCCTTTAGGGTTCCATTTGATCACCACAACATTTAGGGTAGATAGAGTGACTTATCCTTCAAAAACTAGCATATTAAGACAGAACTGCATTTTCCTCTTAGCTAAGCACTGATACAGGGTTAATATTACACTAGATTAGGATTTTAGTGGGGATAAACAAGAACCTTTTTTTTCCTACTGTAAAGGTACTAGAACCATGCAGTCCAGCTGTAAGCATGCTCATCAAAAGAGGAACTCAAGAAACCAGACACTTGGCAATTCCATTTTGCTGCACTTTCAAGGTACAGTAACAAAGGTAACAAAAGGGTGTTTATTTCCTTTGTATAACAGACAAAGGAAGCTGCAATAGCACTTACTGTTTAAGTTTCAAGATAAGCACAATACATCCACACAAGTGACAGGAAAAAACAGAGATGCTGTGAATTATAGGTTGGTCTGTACAAAAAAAATCAATATTATGGTAATGTATAGTAATTCAGCATTTCTACAACAAACTACTATTTCAACAGTGGCATAAATTAAGAAAATATCTTAAAAATGTTTTGTGAATCTTACTTGTTCCATCTATAATCACACTAAAAAAGTTAGTTTATAGAAAAATTGTCTTAATTATTTTTAGGTAGTACCACTGGACAAAAGAAAAAATAGAAATTAATTCATTTTCCCTTTATGTGGTGCTCTAAGACAACAAAATCTAGTAGGATGAATAGAAAAATGGAAACTAGGACTTAGAAGTTTTATTTCTTGCCCTTAAAATGATACACGGTTCAAACCTCAATGAAGCACTGAAGTCCCTGCCTCATCTTCACTGACTGTATCAGGAGAATAATGATCGTTTGTAGAAGTTCTGCAAAGCTTTGGAAACCACATCTGTAGTGTAAGGCTCCCCATAGTGGGCAACAAGTCCTGCTCCTGCCTGGCTCCACAGAGCAGAGTCCCAGAGAAAGCTTCATCGGGTAGCATTTGCCCAGGCTCTGTTAGTCCTCACATACATTCCTTATGGCCCATATTTGCTGTGCAAAGATATGGTGTCCCAAAGCACCATGTGGTGAATGTGAAACTAGAAATACATGTGTACTCCTGTTGCTTTGTTTCTTTTTGATTCTCTGAACTTACCTATTTTTATGCAGAATATTCTTTCAAATTTTCACCTTTTTCAGGGGTTTTAAATTCCACTTTTGCCTATGGACAGAGCTTTTTTAAGTGTAGAATTTTGTAATGGAAACATACTTCTGTTTGGGGGACTAACTGTATTCCATTTAAAGACATTTTCAATCTCTCCTGAGGAAAAAATATCCTTTGCAAATAATAAGATAATTTAAGAGAGTTAAATGCAGAAGCACCTTAAATATACAGAATACTACCATTATGAAGATTTTAGAAAAGAGGTCTTCATGTCTAGTTTGAGCACAGGAGAGTGTATGAGTTCCAAGGAATGCAGATTGAAGCCACAAAAATTTCTTAGCATTAGGTGCTATTTCCTAAAATTAATTTGAAATTTTGAAAGAAAGAGACATGTTTTTTTGGTGGACTTAGCAGCGCTAGGTTAACAGTTGGACTTGATGCTCTTAAAGGTCGTTTCACACTTAAAGAATTCTATGAATCTGTGAATCTTCCCTCCCTTGTGCTTGACCATTTTGCAGAAAGAAAAGAGTAGCTGCAGCAGTACCATCCATATGACTACTCCAACATTCATTCACTCAACATGACTCCCTTTTTGATTTTTCTGCTATCTCCACCACTTAATGAAGGGAGTACAATTCACAGTCTTATAAAAGATTCTCTAATACTTCTACAAAAGGAACTTCAGTATTCTCTGAGTGTGCTACTGTGGTTCATTAGGAAAAATGTCATGGGATAACCACCCCACTTCATGACAGATGCAATCAGTGTCTCCCTAAGTTTCCATTCTCAAATATGCCCTAAATAGGTCTATTTACACACAAGGCACAGTAATATCAAGCCACTGCCATGAACCAGGAAAAATATAATGAAAAAAATTGCCCTGAAGATGCATGTTTTGTACTTCCCAGATTTAATATATTCTCACATTATTCTCAAATGACTCAGACATATTTCTGGAGAGTGGCCTAGATAATAACTAAAATAGGTCTTAAATGCAATAGAAAACTAGAAAAGCTGCTAATGTTTACAGATTCACAAAACTCTGGGCTATTCATGAAAATTTCCCGAGTTAGGCATGCTGGTCAGTCCTGTAAGATCATCTCAGAGAAATGCCAAGCTGTAATATGTAAATGAAAATAGTAACACTTCAACATTCTGATGCTGCAAACTGAGGTTTGACACAAAATCCCGGAGTTGTAGGAGAGGACCATGCAAAGTCAAGTGGATTGCAGGATCAAGAAAGGAGAAATAAGTGTCCTGCAAGAAACAAACAGATGTAATTTTTAAATGCATCTGCACTCTGAGCAATTACTATCACATATGAGGAAAAAGCTTCTCTGCTGTCCTTGTCTCTCTTTGTTACTCATTGTCTTGTTTTAAAAACATACCTCTTCCCTCTGAATGTTGCTCAACCTATGCTTGTCTTCACATGAATAAACTGATTAGATTTTAGAGATGTAAATTCATTATGTAATCAACGGATAGTGATTTCAAATATTCTAATACACATCAAAATAGTAAAACTTGTCTTAAAACTATCTATTTAACAAAAGGCTAATAAAATATTAATATTCTCTCATATTTTTCCACCTGGCTCTGTGTTAGACTGGTG